CTGAGTCTGCACAGGCTTCTAGAACTTTCCTAGGACGCTCTATGCAGACTTCCCAGGCTCGTGTGTTCCCGTCCTTGCTTTCCCCCCTCTTGAAGGTGAAAGTGGAAAGCTCTGAGCCTTAGGAGCTGAAGGAGACCAGCCCAGGAGAAAAATAATGGAGAGATGGGATGGGGGAGGCGGGGAGAGAGTTTGTGATTTGGGGTGGTGGGAGGAGAAAGGGTTATTCTTGACAATGAACGTGTTTCTTTCCCAGGGAACGTGAACTTGAAGTTCTCTTATTGAGAGACTTGGCGGTGTGGCCTTGATCAGGGATCAACAGGGAAAGACTTGAGAGAGGAAATGACTTTGTTTTCAATATATTTCAAATACTTCCTTCCGTGAAGATGGCTTTTCATCGTGAAACTTGTTTTCTCTTTTTTTTTTTTTAATTTTTTTTAATGTTTTATTTATTTCTAGGAGAGATAGGGAGAGGCAGCGTGAGCAGGGGAGGGTCAGAGAGAGAGGGAGTCACAGACTGAAACAGGCTCCAGGCTCTGAGCTGGCAGTCAGCACAGAGCCCGACGCGGGGCCTGAACCCATGAACCGCGAGATCATGACCTAAGCGAAAGTCGAACGCTTAACCGACTAAGCCACCCAGGCGCCCCTGTTTTCTCATTTTTAATAAGGTTTTTTATGATCATTAGTTAGGACATCCTCAATAGAACAAATTTAGAAAACTCATTGCCCATAAGTGGAAGAATGTGCTTGAAGGTTCTTAATTTGTATTTCCCCAACAAGGCTCGCTGATTTCTGGAAAGACTCAGTATTTGCAGTGGGCCCATCTGCATGGGGGCTTGTTTTGCAGTTGAAGCTCTTCCTGAAAGGGACGAAATCTTATCCCCTCTAATGTGAGCCTCCAGGTAACAGTGGAAGATGGGAACAAGCCTCCACAGAGGCCCAAGTCCAGGTGATGCGTCAGACCAACATGGCTGGACTGTGGGCTTGGAACTTGGAACTTAATGTGAGAAACTTCTAGAAGCTCCCGGACTTGGAACCAGATACCTGCGTTCATACAGAGGCTTCCTGCAGCCTCAGCACATACACTGGCAGTGCCCTGTGAATATATATGGTCAGCCCCAGGCCCTGCGAGCAAGGCGAGGGTCTGAGGCACTCTCTGACCCACCTCCGGGGCTGACCCCCTCTCTGTGAAGCACCGGCAGCTTCTGCATCACCTGATGGCCTGGTCCCCAGAGCCTGTGACCTTGGGCGTGTCGGCCAAATTCAGAAATGAGATTAAGATCCAAATGCTGCTCCTGGGAACCTGAGCCTGTGGAACGTGAGGCAAACGATAAAAGGGGCCTTAGAGCGGAGGCCTCGTATTCGAGTCGGGCCTGCCTCTGCCGCCCTGAGAATCTCTATCCCCTCGCCTCGTTGCCGCCTGCATTCTAACGGCCGTGGCAGGCGAGGAATCGGTGACACCACCCCGTTGGGCTGTGTCACACTGGGTCACAGCCCTTCACAGGAGCTCAGGCCCTCCCTCCACGCCTCTGTGCCGTTCTCCCCATCCCAGGGCTGGTGCCGGCCCTCCACGCCCCCCAGCCAGCACGGAGGCCAGACAAACCCACCACTGCTCTCAGTGGCTGCTGTCTGTCTGGGCTCATTTGGGGGTGGTACGCATGCTTTAAACAAGGACGCCCTGGAGAGAATTTCGGACTTAGAGATTCACTTGTCTGCTTCGGCAGACCTCTCTGGGCAGCTTTCATTCCCAGTTTCCTGTCTCTCTTTCACTTTTCCTTACGAGTAATAATGTGCGGATGTCCCAGGCCTGGTGCTTTCTGTCTTTGTCATAAAATGCCTGTTTGTGCCCATAGCGCTGGAAGGGCCAGGCATTATTCCCATAGAGCCACCTGGGCTACGGCCTCCCCTAGCAGGATGCTGGCTTTTTCCCCCGTGCCTCTGGGCCCCCATCCTGAACCCAGCAGGTCTGGCGCTGGCTCAGTCTGGTATAGACAGGGAAGATTCGTGGGGCTTCTCTGCTGACGTTGGGGAGGTACCGCAGGGCTGCGATGGCCTCGCCACTCCCCTGCTGGCTCAAGAGTAGAAACGCCGCTGAACCCTTTCAGAACCTCTGAGCACCCTCTCATGGTCCCCCGGCTCCTCACTAGGCCAGATAGACGTGGCGGTGGTGGCCTGAGCGCTCAGCCAAGTGGCCTGCTTTCCAGCAGCAGCGGCAGCTGTGCATTCTGCCGTTTTCCTGCCCCTGATAGCAGATGACACGTAGGGTCACAGAGCCTGAGCCGCGCTTACCTTTGCATCGTTCCCTGTCGGTTACGCTCTGTTCTGACGCCCGGCCGTGCAGGCACCGCGTGAGGTGCCGAGGACCCAGGGGCGCTGGTGGTCCCGGAGAGGCCTCACACAGCAGGGAGGGCAGACCTTCCCACACACCCCGCACTGCCAGCCTGCGCTGCGTGCCCTCCCCTGGCCCTCTGGGAAGGGGAGAGATGTCATGTGGGGGGAGCACAGGACGGAAGACTTGACGGCCTCACGGTGTCCAGGACCTCCCCAGGCCTGCCTCTGCGCTGCAGACTTCTCCCTCCCTGGTGAATGCTTCTCTCCTCACCCCGAAGGGTGAATCCGTGCCTGGGCGGAAGGCACCCCGCCCCCCGGGTGGAGGGCCCCTCCTCTCCCATGCTGCGGTGGCCCACATTCATTTGGTAGAAGCTTAGCTGGCTTGCAAGCTGGGCCTGAAGTTAACCATTTGGAAGAGACATGGTAAAATGGACACAGTTGCCAGACTGCATTCCACTGCCCAGGATCCCTCCACTGGAGGCTTTTGTGGCTAGAAGGGCTCTGGCATCTCCATTTGCTCTGGAAGCTTAATTTTTGCCAAGGTTGTTATCACCAAGCAGGCGCCAGAGCTCTGTTCCACTCACGGTCCAATTATGGCAAAATCCAAACAATAGAGCTGTTATTCCACTTGTCAGAACATCGAAGGGGCACGCTTTCCCCTCGCCAGGATCAAACCCTCGGTGCGCTTTGTGATATGCAAGACCTCGGGGAAGGTCTCTCCACTCCCGGACACACAGAAATGTGTGGGAACTGGAAAATGGATCCCTGCAGTCGCCACGGGCCGGGTCCCTGGTTTTCCTCTTCACCACACAGACCCTGCCCAGTGAGGGGTCGGGGAGCGACCTTGGGGAGGCCCAGGCACGGGCACGGCATTTCCAGGCTGGGGGCAGACTTGGTTCCCGATCCTGAGGACTCTTGAGGGAAGGGGTGAGGCTGGTGAGAACAGGGGGGATGTAGTCTGATGCGAATTGCTCTCCTGCCCCTTGCCCACGACAAAGGGCCTGCCATCTCTCTCCCTTCCTGCAAAGTCGCGGGCTCCTCTGCTGACTGCGCATCTGGGGACATGGAGCCTGGGCCCCTCTCCACCTCCCCCTTCCGCCCACCCCTGCACACGCACGCACGGGGACTTGCACAGGAGCCTCAGGGGGGCGGAGAACAGGGTGGTCAGCGCTCTAATGTCATCACCCACAAGGAGTTTTCTGGGTCTGTCTTCCCTTCTCCAAATGGAAGCATTTGGATAAAGGACCTAGAAGGGCCCCTCTGGCTCTAACACCCCATGAACTGTGGGCCTAGATCAGATTTATAAACCCGCCTGGATAGAAACAGACACCGAGGTGCTGTTCTCTCTAAAACAGCCCTAATACCTGGCCGTTCCGCGGCCGCTTTCCGCCTGAAGCCGTGCACGTGTGCCCGGAGCTGTTCCAAGCTCCAACCCCGGCCGCCCGTTCAGTCGTGCTGGGCTTGGGGCCTCAGTGAGTGAGGCTGGTTCTGGAGCAGACCACGGTTTTGCTTCCGCCTGCACTTAGCCTCCTACGTCTTCACCAGCCTCACTCCCGCTTCTCTCCTCTCCTTTTCAAGATCACACACAAAGACAAGGGGTTAGAAAGTTCTACCTGGGGCGCCTGGGTGGCTCAGTCAGTTAAGTTTCCGGCTCTTGATTTCAGCTCAGGTCATGCTCTCTGTTTTGGGAGTTTGAGCCCCATGTTGGGCTCCATGCTGTCAGTGCAGAGGCTGTTGGCATTCTCTCTATCTCCCTCTCCCCACTCCGTCTCCCCCTCTCCCTCCCCCCTCTCCCTGTCCCCCTCCCTCACGCTGTCTCTGTCTCTCTCAAAATAAATAAGAAATAAAGGAAGAAAGGAAAGGAGGAGGGAAGGGAGGGAGAGAGAGAGAAAGAAAAAGAGAGAGAGGAAGGAAGGAAAGCAAGCAAGCAAGCGAGCAAGAAAGCTAGCTTTATCTGAATTGTTACCATCTTAAGAAGTGGACTCTGGTGACAGATGCCTGGATTTATTCAGTCCCTGGTTCGGCAGCGGCTTACTAGCTGTGTGACTTTGGGCAAGCTACAGAACCTCTCTGTGCATCAGTTTCCTCAGCTGTGAAGCACCTTACCGTCCCACAGGGCACCTGTCTCCCAGCGGGTGGTGGGGGGTGGGGGGGCTAAATAAGCTGATTTCCTCCAGTGCCTGCTGCTTGCCAGGTCCTACACACCCGTTCCCCACGCCGCGTCGTGAAGTAGCGGAGGCCGATGGGAAGACCACAGGGCTGCAGTGAGGAGAGCGCGCCGCTTGCTTGCCCCCGGGGGCGCGATGCAGATTCCGAACCCCCCACCTCCCCATCGCAGTGAGAGTGGCCTCTCCCTCCAGGCCGGCTGTGAGGCCCCAGGCAGACGTCCCACCCGCACAGGCCACGTTAAATCTGCTCTCTTTCCGGACGCCTGGGTGGCTCAGTCGGTTAAGCATCCGACTTCGGCTCAGGTCATCATCTCACAGTTCTTGGGTTCGAGCCCTGCGTTGGGCTCTGTGCTGACGACTCAGAGCCTGGAGCCTGCTTTGGATTCTGTGTCTCCCTCTCTCTCTGCCCCTCCCCTGCTCATGCTCTCTCTCTCTCTTTCTCTCTCTCAGAAAAAAAAAAAAAATTAAAAAATTAAAAAAAAAAAATCTCTTTCCCTTTCCCAGGCACGCGTTCTGGCAGTTCCGCCAGGAGAACCCCAAGACCCGGGTGGGGGGCCCGCCCCCCGAGGGGCTCCCCGGCTTCAACAGCGGGGTGATGCTGCTGGACCTGGAGGCGCTGCGCCAGTCCGCCCTCTACGGCCGCCTGCTGGAGCCGGCGCGGGTGCGGCAGCTGGCGGACAAGTACCGCTTCCGCGGCCACCTCGGCGACCAGGACTTCTTCACCGTGGTCGGCATGGAGCACCCCGAGCTCTTCCACGTGCTGGACTGCACCTGGAACCGCCAGCTGTGCACCTGGTGGAGGGACCACGGCTACAGCGACGTCTTCGAGGCCTACTTCCGGTGCGAGGGCCACGTCAAGATCTACCACGGGAACTGCAACACCCCCATCCCGGAGGCCTAGGCGCGCCCTCGCCCCCGCGCCCTCGGGTCCCCTGGAAGCCGAGGGGCGCCTCCCATACACCCTCCCCGGGGATGTCCTTCCGATGACCGCTGCGCCGTCGCACCCCGCAGGTCGCTGGCCCGAGGCCACCCGGTGGGGCCGGCCTGGCACTGCTGGTGCGCGGGGCCCTTTCTCTCCAGGGGGCCAGGAGGCCAGGCATCGACATCTTCCCGTTGGGCTGGGAAGCGGGCATTTAAAGAGAAGAAAGGAAATGGGGCTCCGTGCCCTCAGCCCCCAAAGCATGGAAATGCCCGGCCTTTCTTAGACCAGATATAAATTTATCTCAAATCGACATGCTTCCATTTTGCAGGAAAGAACAAAACAGTACTGCTGTAGATCCGGGGAGCTCCAAACGAGCCAGCCAGGGTTTTATCCGCCAGCCCAGAGTTTGAGCATCCGGATGAATACCAGCCTTCTGCATGTGCTCCCCGGGAGGCTGCGAGCTCGTCCGCCCTGCCCGCATGACCTCTGTAGGTTGAAAGGTCACCGCCTCTGCGGGGAGAGAGCCTTTATGGCCAGCAGTGGCCCACAGAGAAAACCGGGCTCATTATTTTAGCCTCCAGGCTTTTCTCTCCCAACGACATCACAGAACCTCATTATCCCTTATTCATCCAGGCAGCTTCAGGTGACCGGACTGTGCTCGGAAATCAGATCCGCCATCAAAGAACAGAGCTCGGCCACCCACAAGGACACGCAGTAGAGTTGTCTGGACGGGAAAGACTCATTCCGAAGAGGAGCCCAGCAGTGTATGCGCATAAACGTGTGGCTCGGAAGGGGTGTCACTCATAGGCTGATAAGCCTTCAGTCTCTGTTTAAAAAGTCGTCCTGTGACTTTCTTATTGTATCATATCAGACCCTGTACCTTAGAGGGAATTCGGCTCTTCTCTGAATGAGTTCCCTCGAAAGGTGCAGACACCAGGTCCATTTTGTCTAGTCCAGCGGAGTTCCTGGGGGGGGCGGGGGGGGGGGAGAGGGGACGACAACTGCGGTTGGATTTTGACGACTGCAGTTGGATTTTCATCTTTTTATTTCAGTTTCGTTTACTTTTTTTTATTTCTTTTCACCATGAGTGAGAACAGCTAATAAATCATTTGAGAACACAATGATTATGTGGTTTGTCCTCTGATCACAGCTTGCTGCTACCTGAAGGTTCCGAATCAAGAGCGTAATCGGTGTCATTCAGAGCTCTCCCCACCCCCACCCCCTGCTCCCCGGCCCGTCCAGGTGATCAAGCTAAATGTGCTCACCGTGGGTCTCTGTGGACCACGGAGGAGCATGTCCGAGGCAGGAGGAGGGAGGGCGCCAGGGCTGTGTCACTCGAGAATCATTGCATTGTGGGCATAGGCGGGCCCGTCCGCTCCTGGGAGCAAAAACATTGCCTTCCCTTCCCACTTCCCAGCCCAGGCTCCCTGGTTACATCATCCCCTGACGAAGCGGAGCACAGTCCTCTCCTGCCTCTCTGCTCTGACAGAACTGGTATGTTCTCTTAGGTACTTGACTTCCTATTTATAGCTACTAGTTATTGAATGCCTGCCGTGTGCATGGCATCGGGGGGATTTATGTACGCTCTTGATAATACTCATGACAACCTCACGAAGGCAATTCAAATTCTAGAATTTATTATAAGAAAGTAACATGAGCTGTGGACAGAGAGTCATTGTTTATCACACTGAGTTTTTTTGATAGAGAACAACCGGGAACAACTTTCAGTTTTGACTAGGGGAGCGGATAAATAATGTATGTTACATCCAAGGAATAAAATAACGCGGGCATTAACACCATATTTTTCAAGAATATCTAATGCCTTGGGAAATGCTTACAATGTACTGTTAAGTAAAGAATGCAAAATATAAGATTATATGTACGGCGTGATCCTCATTTTTAAGATTACGTATATGTGCGTGGATGTGTATATGTAAAAAGAGAAGGTGTTCTGCTCGATTTAATTAAAACCCGTATGTTTGAAACACCACATTAAAAAAATAAACAATTATTTCAATGGGAAAAAGTGGATACAAGGCTAGAGAATTTTAAACTCAGAAAAACAAAGGTATTTTTCCTACATCGATTTTAATAATTCACGTACTTCTGGAGCTGTGAGTCTTTTGTTATTGCAAAGAAAAACCAATAAACTGGGTTTTCAAAATGGGCAAAAGCACACGAGATCTCCTCATTTGCTGTTGAGCTCCCCTAGGCAGGAGCTCCCCGTTCCTCCGTCACCAGTGGCCTTGGTAGACAGCAAAATAGTACCCAGCAGGAAGTCTCGCCAGCCCAGCAAGCCTACAGGTGTCCCCGTGCTTGACGGTGAGCACCTTTTGGACAGACGTTGGAGGGCCGGTTCCTCCCTGGCATCCTGTTACAATCCATGTCGTGCAAACATACCTGGTTGTGCTGTGGTTAACTTGTGTGATGACAGCTGTCACTGCAGAGCATGTGCGGGTAGGAACGACTAGAACAGAAGCCTGAGAAGAACATTTCTGGGTACTTGGAAGGATCAAGGTGCTTTCTGTCTTCATCTGTGTCTCTGTTTCTGAACACTGATTACCTTTGTCATAAACGATAACATGCTATAAAATTGTAGCCACCGCCCTCCCCCGGTTACAGGTACGTATCGTCCTGGCCCTTCTATGACTCATGGTTGGCCCTGGTGACCACCGCGTGAAAGAAAACATAATCTCGGCTAAGTAGGCTCTGGGTTTTCAACTTTGCCTATGGACGCCCTAGTTCTCTAAATAAAAGTGGCCTAATAATAGCATCTCCAGCCTCTGCTTTCATTTCTGATTCTATTATCTTTTGGCCTTTGGAAAGCTCGTGGGCTTGTCGAAGAGATTCCCTTTCATAGCATCTCATGGGCCCAAAGAGCGGGGTGCTGGGTCAGGGGGCCCCCAGCCGGAGCGCACCAGGAGGGTGCCGGCTAAGGGAGCAAGTTAGCTGTGCCTCAGCACCTGCTTTGGCACTAAAAGGCCAAACCTCTGCTCATTCTAAGGCTTCCTGGCTCATGTCCACAGTCACGGCACAGAGGTTTGGCTGAAGGTGAAGTTTGGCAGGACGAGCAGAAATTTCCAAGCAGATGGGGGGGGTATGGTAGAGAGAACTTCACACCTGAGGCAGAGGCCTGGCTTTGCGTCCATGTTGTGTTCTCACCACCTGGGCAATCTGGGACATCCAAGGTCACCTCTTTCCCCACTTCAAGACACCGGCAATAAGAGTTCCCTCAAAGGAGTATGGTAGGAGGAAAGGTGATGGTAAGGCCTTGGCAAGCAGAGAAATCACATGTAGACACAAGGGGATTCTTCCCACTGAAAATATCCTTTTAAAATAAAAAGTGACAGCCGTTTAGGGCACATTAAATGTGTTGGTGGCACCTCCCTCAGCCCAGTGGATGACCAGACGCTTGCTTGTAGGCGGTCTGATATTTTTGTTGGCCATACCACCCTGGAGAGCCCGTGTCCGGGAAGCCAGGGGTCCTTGGATAAGCCCTTCCCCTCTGGACTACAAGGGGCTACGGGACTGGACGCGATCTCCAAGCACCTCTCTGCTCCCAGCACACGTGTCGTACGCATCCATCTCTGTTCACGCGTGCATGTGGCGGGGAGTCTAAATCAAATGCAAGACCTCCGGACCTCAACTCATCATTTACACAACTTGGAAATTACGACCATTCAAACGGAGACTCACTCACAAGGTACAGTTGGCATGACTTTTGCCCCAGTCTGAACAGGCGAAGTGAGGGACGCAGACAAACTATAGGAGGTCTTTAAATCCAGAGAGACTCCGTGCCATCCACGAGCCGCAGCCCTCTGCTTTTGGCCTCTTTGTCTCCCAAAGAGCCTCCCAGGCAGAGCCACTTTGTAGACGGACCCGTAACCCCACGCATCTCTCCCTGGGCAGTACTGAGTCTGGAGCCCCCAGAGAGGGGGCTGGTGGGGCCGCCCTGTGGACTGGCCTGCCACTCCCTGAGGTACTTGCAAAGGCCAACAAACCTTCTGGAGGGAAGGCTTCTCTAACTGGGTGTGCTCCCAGTGTCTCCACGTGTGGCCCCGCTCCAACGGAAATGCGTCCACCCCATACAGGTGAGGGCAACCTCACCGAGGGCCCTGCGTTCAGGGCCGGAGGGGCCTTTCCACGCTTTCCCCGACAGGTGGGATTTGCTGCAGTCGCTCCCTGAGCCCCTCTCCCAGCCCCACGGGCCTGAGCAGGACCCCAGGAGCAGGGAGCCGGGTTGTCTCACCTCCCCGACAGGGCCTTGCAGACAGCAGGGACCTGGGTGTCTGTGGAAAAAGCAAGAAGCTCCCACTCAACCCTCTTCCTTCCTCCTCTCTGGCTCTGGGCAGCCTCCAGAACATGCAGAGAAGCCGCCGACTGAGCTTCAGAGTCTCCACCAGTTTCTGTCCTGACTGGTGAGCTCCTCAGGGCAGGGATGGTGTCGTCACCTGTGGCTGTCCCCCAGCACACGCTCAAGTGGGGCCTGTGAGGACGCCAGGTGCGGACAGCCTGGGTGCTTGGGCCGGTCTGTTCGGTGTGGGGGGTAAGCGAAGCCGGAAGTTCTCAACATGTCCCTTCCACCTGCTCTGCCCTGACATCCTCACCGTCGCTTCCCACCTCGAGCGTGGAGGGTGAGTTCACGACGCCCCTCGGTGCCGGGCCCATCCGCACCACTGTCCCCTGTGAGGCCTCTCGGTTCATTTATCCCCGTAGATCACGGTCTCCTTCCCCCAGCCCCTAACACATCCTCATGTGCTTTCTGTGTGTCTTCTGCGTTTGTGCAAAACGGCGTTACTATCTCGTGTGCATGTTTCAGTTTGGGTAACTCCGCATTCTCTTGCGCTTTCTTTTCCATTCGGCGCTGAGTTTCTCAGATCCACCCTCCTTATCGCGTGCACACACAACGCTGCCTGCTGCCCACGGCGTGCTCTCACCGGTGTACCCACCCTCGGCCGCACCGCCGGCACCCACATAACCTCCCACCCGCCTCCTCGCTCCACCCCACGCCCACACAAAGGACCCTGCTGGGAGCAATGTCATCCTGACCCTCGCGCACCTGGTAGGCATTCCCCCGCGCGGTACGTCCAGGAACAACGCCGCTGGACAGTCAGATGCACATGTGCCCACCTTTCTGCCTAAGGGGGGCCCAGAATGCCCTTCCCGCTCTCACCTGTATGAGGCCTCGCTCCCTCTGCGTGGCTGAGCTCAGGTTCACGTCTCTGAGCATGGACACGCGTGTGGAGCCGGGAGCCTACTGGAGTTCTCCGCAACGTGAGGCCCGAGGCAGGGCTGCTCTCTGTGTGAGTGGTGCGTGAGTGGTACCACATTGGCCTTGGCCGGTGGGTGCGTGTCTGGGAGACGGGAGAGGTCAGCCGTGCGACGGCCGTGCGCAGTAGGTGAGACAACCCACGGAGGAAAGTGCCTCCGAGGCCCTAGACACCTCAGCCGGTCCCCAGCCCCACGCGGCGCTGTGAGAGGCCTGCCGTCTGGCATCGACCCGGCTTCCCCCCAGGTAGAAGCCCGCGCTCCTCGATGAGGGCCTCTGGCCCTCTCTCTGGAGTCTTCCTCTCCCAGTCCTCAGGCAGCCGCAACCCTCTCACCTTCCTCCAGCCCGGGGCCTGGCGCTTCCCAACGCACAGGCCGGCACAGAGCCGGGCGCTGGGGCCGGGCAGTCTCCGTGCTCTGGGAGCACTCTGCCGCGACGCGAGTGCTCCTCTCCTGTTCACACAACGGTCTGAGCCAGGGCGTGGCAGCAGTAGTGACAGTCTTCTAAGGGTAAGTGCACCCGGGCTCTGAAAAGCGCAGGCCCTTCTGTACCGTCACAGGCCAACAGCTCCTTGGCAAACCTGTGTTCTCCTTCCGTCCCACCTTTCAGGGGAGCTAACCTGACCTCTAATCCAGGAAGTCAGGACAACCACCCGCTCCGGGCATCCCCTCCTGGTGCCTCTGTGGGCTTCTGCTGTCCCCAGCAGGCAGGCTTGGGAGACGTATGTGCGGGAAGCTTTCTGGGAAGCGTTCTGTGGGGAGGAGGACCAGGCAGGGAAGAGGCGAGGCGGTCATGACAAGAGGCCTCCGCGGGCCCCATGAAGGACCCCAGAGCTGGGGCAGCCTTGCCGAGGAGCCCTGGCTGGAGCCCGGGACCTGGGCCTTCAACCGGCTCCTGTCCGGGCTCTGGAGATGGGCTTCCCTGGGGGGAGGGCACCCTTGGACGAGGCAGCTTCCTTTGGCCAGGGGAGCTTCCGGGCAGGGCCTCAGTTCTGGGCCATCCACAGCAGCCCTCGTAGGAGAATGAGGTCTGGCCCCTGAAGGGGGGTGGGGGGGGGGTCTGGGCAGCCCACCAGAGCATCTGCCGTGGAAGCCCAGGGACCCACAGCCCCCCTCTGCATCTTCCTTCCCGCTTTTCTGAACTATGCTCTGTTCCTTCTCTCAAAGTTCTCCCGCTGGGGGTGTTTTCCGCATCAGTCCCGCCCTCTGCCAGGTTTCCAGGCGCCCTTCCCCGAGCAAGAACCGGAGCCCAGGCTCCCTGTGCAGGCTGCTCCCTCTCCCTGGTGACACTGGTGTTGCCACTGGGGCTGGCCCTGCACCAGGGAAGGTCATCTGCTGTTTGTAGGAAGCAGGGTCTACCTTCTGTCCCTTCCCTCTGGACTCAGATCCCTACACGAGCCCAGGGGCCCACCTGCCTCTGCCCTCTCCAGGATCTATGCACAGAAGATCCCGGGCACACTGACGCCGCTCGGCAGGAAGGAGCAGGGCCTGGCCAGACGGGTGAGGTGGCCTCCGGAGGACCTGTGCCCGTGCCGGGGATGATGAGAGCTGGGGCTGCCCACTGCTCACTCCAGGGGAAAAGCCAGCAATTCTGTGCAGACGGCGTGGGCTATGGAGGAGGGTGACCTCAGATGACACCCCAGTTGTGACGCTCTTCATTTGTGCAAGTCACAGGTATTTACCAGGCCCTTGCCGTGGGCCGAGTTCTGGGGCCACAGTGGCGAAGAGGATGGGTGAGCTCCTGCTCCCACACAGGCTCTCAAGTAGTGAGGTGGTCTCTCACTGCTGTGGGTAAGAACAGCAGGGGGCCGCGGGTGCACCTTGAGGGGTACCCTGGGATCCAGGTTGGAGGTAAGGGATGCCTCCTGGAGGATGCAACAAGAACCCTACGATAGGTGCCCCTGGTGAGAGAGAGCATGGCTGTGTGGCCTTGAGGAACATACTTGCCCTCTCTGGGCCTCCCAGTCACACCCATCTGCTGGCCACTGTGAGGACTAAATGAGATAACATATTCTCTGTTCCTTACTCACCAACTGCAGTCCCGACTCACGAAGGCTACGACAACGATAAGTACAGGGAGCTACCATTTTCTGGAAATGAGGGAATTCCCTGAGCTCTGTGGATAAGTATGAACCAAAGACTGTTCCATCCAGGATCTGGGTGGGACTCAGATCACTAGGATTTCCGTCCTTGCCCTGCCCCTGCTGTGTGACCCCAAGCAAGTGACTTTGCATTTCCTGACCTTGCTTGCCTCCTTTGTAGCAGAAAGGAGGCGGGCTAGAGTCTGAAATTCAAGGCCTAGGGAGAAATGAACACTTAAAAGCCCAGTCAGCACCTCAGGTTCTAGGGAGTCACCGAGGGGAGGGGCAGCCTTCCAGGCGCAGCCTGGGTGAAGCAAGTGGGCTCTGGGTGATTGATTGCCCTTGATCTTCTCAAGCAGGAGAGTCCGAAACCTGCGGTGGAAGCCACTTGGTATCGAAAGACAAGGAAGTGGGAAATGTATGAAGGGCAGAGCGCGCCTGCTTGACTTGAGTCTGTGGGATGGGCCTTCATGAGAAGAGCGTCTTCCATCCAGATCCAGGCGTCCTGTTCAACAAGCTGTGAGGATGAAGGAGCAAGTACGGGGTCCTCCTCTTTCTCCCCTCGACGCAGACTCTCCCACAGCCCCGTCTGGGCCACCCTCCCTCCGTGCCCTGGCTTCCTCTCTCCTTCCCCACCTCCCGGTCATCCGGGAAGACGCCTCTGGCACAGGTGACACTGTATACCCCTCTGCAATGCAGAGTTTCGCATCGCAAGCGCTTCTCGTAAGAGAAAGCAGTCACACTGAGCGGTGAGCTCTGTCTCCCCAGAGGCAGGAAGGCTCCAGAACGTTGGAGCTTCTGGGGCCTCTGACTGGGAACATCTGATAACCCCTGGCCTGGCCTTCGAGGGAGGCAGGGGCCCCTTGGCCAGAGGCTTTGAGGCTGTGAAGCTGGACGACGGGTCAAGGAACAAGAAGTGCTAGGGACCATTTTAAGAAGAGTCCTGAGGGAGGGCCTCCGAGCCCGAGAGGCTGTAATGTACGGCCATGAGGGGATTGTGCAGAGAGCTTAATGTGGCTGGGGATGGGGCTGGGATCACCTTTATTCTTTTTCAAGAAACACAAATACAGACTGACCTTGCTCTTTTGTGTAGTCATGACAACCGCTATGTTTCATTGGATGCCACAAAGGCTGAGACTGGGTCACGCAGGACCCGGGGCTTTGTTGCATAGACAACACCGTAATCCTGCAGCCTCCGTCATCACCTGGCTCTGCCTGGAGCCTCTGTGCTGCTTGAAGGTGGGCCTCTGGCCTCCTCGAGGTCCCAGCGTCCGACACGGTGCCCGACACATTGTGAGTGCTCGTTGAATCTTTGTTGTTCAACTGCACGAATACATGGAAACTGGGCACACCTTCCCAGGGAAGAAAAATGGCACCCGTGGGTTTGGGGAACAAGATGGCGGGGTGCAGAATTTTACAGAATCTTAGTAAGGGCCAACGGAGGGGTGGATGGGAGAGCACTGGGCAAAGGGGAGGGCTTAGCATTAGGGCAGATTTGGGGGAAATGGGTGGAGGCCCAGCAGTAACCACTCACGGAAGGAAAGCTCCCTCTGTGTCCCCATTTAATGAATATCAGGTGTTCACTTTCTTCCCCTCATCAAGTGTAATGAATTCCAGGGACTTGATGGTTCCTGTGACAGTTGGTTTGCATAAAATCTCCAGGGTCTGGATGGGGGATGCCCTCGAATGTTCTGATGGCCCTGCTGAATGGGACCTCGGTGGGGCACGCTGAAGCACAGAAGGAGTGGGAAAGAGCTGCTTAGAAAGGCAGTGAGCTGCTCGTCACAGGAGGTATGCCAGCAGAGGCTGCACAGCCTCTTGTGAGAAGACCCGAGATGGAAGGAGCTGGGATGGCCTGACCTACGTATTCCCAATAACCCTGAGATTCTGGATTCCCAAGCCCGGTTCCCTCCCTTTTCTCCACAACTAGCCCTACTGGGAACCATTTACTCTATACCTGAGCATCGTCAGGTCCCGGTTCTAGAGGATCTGCCTGCCTCTGGGAAGGAGACTCGTCTCTGAATAACTGGAGGACCAGGATCTTGTGAAAACCCTTCCACACGCCTCCCTCCCCCTGTCGCCCTCCCCTTTCCAGGGCTCATCCCAGGGTCCTGTCAGAAGTGCTGCCTGAGTTCCTTATAGATTTTGGATACTACCCTTTATCTGGTATGTCATTTGCAAGTATCTTTTCCCACGCCTGAAAACCAAACAACCCAGTGAAGAAATGGGCAGAAGATATGAACAGACACTTCTCCAAAGAGGACATCCAGATGGCCAACAGACACATGAAACGATGCTCAGCGTCCCTCCTCATCAGGGAAATACAAAGCAAAACCACACTGAGATGCCACCTCACGCCAGTCAGAGTGGCTAAAATGAGCCAATCAGGAGACTCTAGATGCTGGCGAGGATGTGGAGAAACGGGCTCCCTCCTACACTGTTGGTGGGAATGTAAACTGGTGCAGCCCCTCTGGAAAACAGTGTGGAGGTTCCCCAAAAACTTAACAATAGAACTCCCCTAGGACCCAGCAATAGCACTGCTAGGAATTTACCCAAGGGACACAGGAGTGCTGATACATAGGAGCACATGTACCCCAATGTTCACAGCAGCACTCTCCACAATACCCAACACATGGAGGGAGCCTAAGTGTCCATCAACGGACGAATGGATCAAGAAGATGTGGTTTATCTATACGATGCAATACTACATGGCAATGAGAAACAATGAAATCTGGCCATGTGTAGCAACATGGATGGACCTTGAGGGTGTTATGCTGAGCGAAATAAGTCAGGCAGAGAAGGACAAATATCATATGTTTGCACGTATAGGAGGATTAGGAGAAAGTTAACAGAGGACTGTGGGGGAGAAGAAGGGAGGAAAAGGGGGGGAGAGGGAGGGAGGCAATCCATGAGAGACTCTTGAATGCTGAGAACAAACTGAGGGCTGATGGGGGTGGGGGGAGGGGGAGGGGGGGAGATGGGCATGGAGGAGGGCACGTGTGGGGATGAGCACTGGGTGTTACATGGAAACCAACTTGACAATAAACTATTAAAAAAAAAAAGTGCTGCTGGAGGCCACGCTGGGCCTCCCCACACACTGGGCAGGGCCTTGATTTGTGGTTTCGTCCACATGCTGGTCAGTCCTCAGATGAAGCCACACATGTGGCTGGGACAGGAGAGGGACAAATAAGTGCAGCATATTCTTTTGGATGGATGGACGGCTGGCTGGCTGGCTGGCTAATCGGCTGTACGGCTGGAAGCCCCCTCCTTTCCTGACGGTCACTGGAGCCTACAGACTGTGTTCCTGGTGTATGAACAGCAGAGCAGCATGAGGCCGGCCAGCCTCGGGGCTGCCAAATGTGGGTTCTTAGCTGAACAGGATTATCTGTCCGCTCAGTCGTGCCTGAGCTGGAAAACGAACAGCCGGCTTTGAGAAGTGGGGCTTCGCCACCTAATTACGGCCAGGGCAAGAGAAGTGCTCCGCGCAGAGGGCAGAGGGTACCTTTCATTCTCTTCTTCATGCTTCTATTTTTTTTTTTAATATTTTTATTTATTTCTAGGAGAGAGAGAGAGATATAGTGTTAGCTTGTGTTGGTTTGTTTTTTTTGTTTTTTTTTTTTTTATTTTGTTTCAGGCTCCAGGCTCTGAGCTGGCAGTCAGCACAGAGCCCGACGCGGGGCTCGAACCCACGAACCGCGAGATCATGACCTAAGCAAAAGTCGGACGCTCAACCGACTAAGCCACCCAGGCGCCCCTCTTCTTCATGCTTCTAAGTGGCCTCGGTGTCAAGCTGTCCCCTGCCCATTTCTCTGCCACCCCACCCCCTCCCCCAGCACTAAGGGCTGGGCTGGTGGCACTGCTCTTCCCTGAGGTACTTTTCCTTCTTCTCATGGAAACTTTGCTGACAGCCAGGCTGAGGGAGGAGCTAGGCACCCAGCTCAGATCATACAGAAGTTGCTGGTGAGAAACTCAGGCAGACAGCAGTGCAACAGGTTACGAAGGGACCAGCCTAGCCCGGAGCTCTCTAATGAGAGAGCAGGGGGGTGTTGTGTGGGCTGCTTGCTCCCCAGAGGCCCAGCAGGGTGCCTCTTACTAGCCTCCACCCACATCCGTTTTCTGGACTCCTTGAAATGGTGAGGAATCCCCCACCCACCACCGCTGTCTTTCTGTGTGACCTCGAGTATGTTAATTTATCATTCTGGGCCTCAATTTGCCCTTGGTAAAGGAATGGAATGAACTTAGATCAGCGTCTCTCAGAACACGCTAATAGCTATTTTAAAAAAAAGAAACAGGATTTTGTGGTCAGAAGTCAACAGGTTTCTTGGGCAAATTAATTAAAGACCAGCGTGTTACTGCTGGTCTCAGAAGTCCTGCAAGGGAGAGCCATGTTTTATTTTTCTTCTAGGACATCTCAAGTTTAGTTCACCACAGAATCCTTTTTAATTTTTTTAATGTTTTTTACTTATTTCTGAGAGAGAGAGAGAGAGACAGAGAGAGAGAGACAGCGCGAGCAGGAGAGGGTCAGAGTGAGAGAGAGACATAGAACCTGAAACAGTCTCCAGGCTCTGAGCTGGCTGTCAGCACAGAGCCCGACGCGGGGCTCGAACCCACGAACGGTGAGATCATGACCTGAGCTGAAGTCAGATGCTCAACCGACTGAGCCACCCAGGCGCCCCCACAGAATCCTTTTTAAAGAATTTGCTGTTTGGGGGGCACCTGGGTGGCTCAGTCGGTTGAGCGTCCAGTTTCAGCTCAGGTCATGATCTCACCGTTCGTGGGTTCGAGCCCCGCGTCGGGCTCTGTGCTGACAGCCAGCTCAGAGCCTGGAGACTGTTTCAGGTTCTATGTCTCTCTCTCACTCTGACCCTCTCCTGCTCGCGCTGTCTCTCTCTCTCTGTCTCCCTCTCTCTCTGCTCCTCCTCCCCCACTCACACACACTCTCTCTCTTTCCAAAATAAATGAACATTAAAAAAAAAAAAAGAATTGCTGTTTTGGAGTATCTGTAAGATGGGTAAGAACGCTGTGCATGGAGGGTTCCTTCCTGATTCTAGGAGTAATTGTGGTCATTTCGTGTTAATTTCCAAGCTACTTGCCACAGAGTCAACTGGAACCTGATGACAAACACCATGGGCCTACTCTGTTCCAGCTGCTTTTGACGTATATCATGGCATTTAAACCTAACACAGGGGCGCCTGGGTGGCTCAGTCGGTTAAGTGTCTGACTTCGGCTAAAATCATGATCTCACAGTTCATGGGTTCGAGCCCCGCATCACATCGGGCTCTGTGCTGACAGCTCAGAGCCTAGTGCCTGCTTCGGATTCTGTGCCTCTGTCTCTCTCTCTCTCTCTCTCTCTCTCTCTCTCTCTCTCAAAAATAAATAAACGTTAAGAATGAATGAATGAGTGAATGGATGAATGAATGAGTGAATGGATGAATGAGTGAACGAATGAATGAATGAACCTACTGCAAAATCCCGAAAGGAGGACATATTGCACCCATTTAATAGACACAGTGTGAGGCTTTAGAGACGTTAAATTACTCACAATTCCGTAGCCAGTGAGCGGCAGAGCGGAGATGTGGCAGAGTGTCTGATGCTGAAACCTCTGCCCCTTCCTCTCCACTGTGCGTCTCCCCGGAGGCGAGGGACGCCTGGGCTTCGCTTGTGTTCATTCTCCGTTTTTGGGTAAGAGCTGCTGTTGTTCCTGCTGCCTCCTGGGCCCGGGCAGGCCCTCCCGACCCGGGGAGCCCCCCCACTCAGCCCCCGGGCAGGCCCTCCCGACCCGGGGAGCCCCCCCACTCAGCCCCCGGGCAGGCCCTCCCGACCCGGGGAGCCCCCCACTCAGCCCCCGGCACAGCTGCTCCTGAAGCTGGCTCTGGCCACATGACAAGCTTTGGCTGCTCCGTGGGCCGGCTGTGGCCTTCCTCCCCGGCCACCCCACACTCCCAGCTCACCAAGTATTTGGTCCTCCCTGGGCTGGGTCTGCTGTCCTCCAAGATACCGCCCCACACCCCCACCAAGTTGTCCGTGCCCCTCCCCTTTCCTGTCCCTGGCACGGGTCATAGTCAGCCTGTGTCAGAGATTGTTCCCGGAGAACGGGCCGTGGCTCCTGCCAGCCGCCGGCTCTGGGGTTACTGTGGGAAGCCTGCGGTCAGCCCAGCACTTCCTCAAGTGTCTCAAGCAGTTTCTGGGGCCCTCTCTCTGCACACCCCCCCTCAATCCTGCTGGCCCTCCTGTGGGTGGCGTCCCTGGGAGACGGGAGGTGAGGTAGATAGAAGCTCTGCAGATGGACAAGTGGCACCGGCCCCAGGCAGAGCCGCGGGGACCCCCACCTTTGCCTCTCTGAGCCTCACCCGTGAGACGGACCCCAGGGCGGCCTCAGGAACGGAATG